TTAAACGCATTTTTTTCGCGAAAAAACTTCTCTAGACTTTCAATTCTCGATTAAAAGCAACGTGTTTTTAACGAGTCTAAACGTGTTCATTCTGCTCTTAACCCCCAATACTTAAAACGAAAATCCAATAGGCGTCAAGAGGTACTTAGCCAGTCTGGTGGGAATAGAAAGTAAGTAGAATGAATGGCTTTGACTGTTTTTCCTATTTTTGGTCACTTCACACATTTTCTCAGAAGCTTAATAAACCTACCTCAATAAATCTACCTACCTTTAACCTATCGTAAAACTTTCCTGATACAACAGTTGTATTATTGCTGTCCATGGTTGAGTCATTCTAAGAACGAAAACAATATTTCATATGTCCCAGAATGTAGGATTAATAGTTTCTCAGGTACAGTCGAGCACCTCTTTTAATTGCCTACGTATACATACACTTTTGGCTATATCTTTCATGGGAAAGAAAACGATCACACCTTAAGAAAGCCGTTCTTAGTAGAGCAAAGTGAAATATTGTTACTTGCTATTTGCGATTATATTTAAACGACTGCTTATCAGGCGCTCTAATTTTTGTCATATAACTTGGGAGAATTTGAAAAGTTTAGCCGTCTTTCTTATAAATTTGTAAAAATCGAGATACTAAGTTGGTACACATTTTTCTCGAATGTCTTTTTGAGTTACATCACTTTTTCGGCAATTTATAATTTGCTTCTCATTATAGTCAAATTGTTCAAATGAAGTATTATAATGCAAAATACCAGCGCGGTTTTTAGTCAACTTGAGTATTTTATGTCATCTACTATTGAAAATTGCAGTATTTCTGATAGTTTTTCCAGGTGTAAGTAACAGTCTTCTTTCCCATGAACGTTTCAATCTGGCCTGGAGTAATAAGAAAATGAAAAATTATTTTTTTAATTCTGCTGCTCGGTCACCGAGCTGCATACATTTATACAGCTTCTGGCGATTTAATTATTAGAGGTACGCAGAAACTCTAAATGCAAAATGTGGGGCTACTCTTAAATCGCCAGAAAATGACAAAGTTTACAATAAATTGAAAGTCGATAGTACAATCCAAGAATAAACTTATCCTATAATTGATCGCAAATAGAGTTTTTTTAAACCTCTCATTGGTTCTTTCTGATACCAAAGCTTTTCTATGAGGAACTCAGATATTTCTTAAAAACTTCTTTAAAGTTTATTTTATGAATAATCGTATTTTGTCGCCTTTTTAAGTTGAATTATATACTGTGGTATCACTTTTGTTCATGGCAGAAAATAACTGAACTAAATGAACCCGGGCGATGGTTTAAATATAGTCGAAACGTTGACCCAAGAAAAATGTTTTTTTTTCTGCTACTTTCCGCTTAACACAAACACATTTTACCAATTAAACGTTTAAGGGTTTCAATTAAAATCTGAATGCATGAAGTTTGAATAATCGTTTTATTTACATTGTGACAGATACGCATGAATGGAAAATGTCAAATAGACGTAACAAAAATAGGAATGTCAAAAACATTGACGACGCAGTAAGTCACATGGATTTTTTGCTAATATTTAGAGGTTTTAGTCTTGATATTGGACGACAATTTTTTTAAATTTTGCAGAACCAATAGAATCATTAATAAAACGTTGCTGCACATGTAGCAACCCAGGTATCTACCTTAAAACCGTCAATAAATAAATTTCTCTTAAGAGCATATATCGATCGTAAAAGACCCTTTTTCAGGTAAACTTTAATACAATTGACAAAGAAATTTCCTGTCCTGCGAGATGTATTTCCTCTACGGGGGATTTACAAATGGTAGCTGCTTTATAGGCTAAAATGCTAAGGAAAATAGAAATAAATATCAGTTGAAATGGATTTTTTTTAGTTTTTCACTGAGAAAACGAAATGTCATTGAGGTGCCATCATGGTGACTATTTTGGTCTGTGTGTTTGACCCTGAGGATGACTCAAATATAGTCGAAACGTTGGCCCATGAAAAATAGTGTTCAATCATTTTTTCCACCATCTATTGACCGAAAACCCACAGCCCTAAATAGGCATCTTTTATTGATTATCATCATGGTCATTAATTAAGCACAAGATCATTTAATCAGTTGTGTTTATCATGTTATATTTTCAGGCACTTCAGGTAACTGCGTTTTTTTTTGTATCAACTTTAATCGTTTCAATTTTCTTTAGATCCAGGAAGAAAAGTCCAAATACGATTTCGTAACAGTTCATTTTATATACATGCTTTCTTATCTACTGGTTGGAGTTTACCCATAAACTTAAATTCCCTGTAGGTCAAGGATAACAGCGCACTTTCTTCTCGTTTCAAGGTTTCTTTTATAGTTATTTCATCTTGGTGATTTTGCTGAATGATGCAAAAGTGGTTAACTTTTCGCACGATCAATAAAATATGGGTCTGAGTCCATTTTATAGCATTCCTGTTTATTGATTTCACCTGCTCTGTTGGACAGTATCGAACTTTAACTATGTGGCTAAATCATTCGACTGATTATAAACGCTGTACAATAGAGAAATATATGCTATTTTATTTTTTGTACTAATTTAGATAAATTGCATTAACGAAAAAATAGTTGTATGCAATAATTTTTCGTTTTAATTGGCGATAGAAGAATACACTTTTCGGGTTCCGTGATTAAAAGGGATGATTTTAATTATCAGTTCGCGTTGTTTTATAATAATTGCATGTCTAGTTAAATTAAAACATGCTCTGTTATAACTCATTTTATTTTACAGGCCCCTATCATGTGATGGTACGAGTCCACTAGAAGGCAAATACGGGCACGCACAATCAATTGACCAACATGTACAGGTAAGAATTGAGTAATTTTCTGAAAAAATATGAATGCTTTTCATTGAACAATCGGAAAACTTTATGATTAGGAAACAAATTTTCAATTTTTGTCTTTCAAATCGTGCGTGTTAATGGCTTAAATATAAATTACCTTGTTGAGATTAATAATCGGCTGCAACAATAAGGTAACATCAATCAGAATGATTTCATAGACATTTTTGCTGTGTAATGTTGCTTCTTCTCATGCTTCCTGGGAATCGCACTAGTTAAATAATACATTGTAGTAACTACACGATTGTAGCAAAAAAAACTGTGTGGGGTTGTAAATATGTTAAGGCAGCAAATGGTTAAAAGTGTTGTGTGTATTATTTGCTAGAGATGAGCTAAAGCGTGATTTTAAAATCACTGATATAACTGTGAATGTGATTTCTTTTTAACTGTGAATTTAACCTATCAATGTGATTTCACTTGTGGTTGCCGTTTTCGTGATATAGCAGCGTCATAAGTTGATGGGCAATTGTGCGTCACTTGCAGAAACAATTTTAAAACATTTGTAATTCATATATTTTTAAATTTAGGTATTCAACAAATTATATTTTATACTTAAAGAACAAATTATTTTAAGGACACTAAAAAATAACAGCCTCTGCAACTAGCAACTGGCTACACATTTTGAAAACCCATGTACTCTAAAAGTTCTAAAAACTTTCTGGAAAAATATTAAAATCGGAACAAAAAATTAATGTTTTATACAGAACGAATAGCATATGTAGTTCTTAACTCTTTGTGTACAAGCTGTATTTTATTTTTATTTTTGACTTTTTTTGCTATTTTGATTTGAGTGAAAATAGGTACAAAAATATTCGCTATATATGATCACTAAATCGTGAAAAAATCACTCTTTAATATCACCTTTGAGTCAATCACGTTTTAAATCACAGTTTATTAATTATTAAGCGCTGTGAAAAAATCTCACTGGTAGTGATTTGTTGCTCAACTCTATTACTTGCGCATACATTCACCGGCTTAAAGACAACTTGAAATAATTCTTTGCCTTTGGCTACTGCACAAAATGGACTACTACCAGGTGCAGCTGCTAGAATTCACAAAAGATCCTAACAATTGCTAGAATACTTGCTGTGTTTTTATTGATGGACCTTTTGTGCAAATTCGTGGTTATACTAAGTAACCTGTAACTGCTTTTGTCCAATACTTCTTTACATTAGTTCCAGCTTGCGAAATGTACCTGAGAATTCCGGCAACATTTAAGTTTCAACATTTTGAATGTGATAGACTGTTTATCATAGTTATTTTTAGCAAGTGAGCAAAAGTAATTTGTTCACAAGTAACAGCAATTGATTATTGATTTATTTATTTAGAACAGACTAACAGACTAAAAAGTTTGGTTTGGATAAAGCAATTGACTATTTAAAACCTTAAAACACGTGCAAGATTCATTGAGAAGTATCCAAGTGCAACTCATCGTTAAACTTAGTTGCTGAAGATGTAACTGAAAAAAGATAAAACATTACATAAATTTAATTGTTTCGATGAATTATGTTACATCTTTAGCGATAGTGAAATCTAACAAAGCATTGTAGTGATATAAACTTGCACGTGTTTGCAAAGAAAAACCGCGTGATCGATTGGTAGAAAATGTATTTCTTCCCCTGAAATGTAGCGGAATGAAAAACACAAATCGTTTTACGTAATGTTTTGTTTTTTTTGTTTTAATTGTTGGAATGCTTACATAAGTGGTGCCAGTTTAGTATCAGATTAAATTAACTTGAAGCATTTTCTCTCGCAAATTCTGTTTTTTTCCCATTTTTATTTGTTACCGTACTTGATTTTTTTGTACTTGTACTACGTAATTAGTAACTGTAGTTTTTACAGTTTATTAAATGTTCTAAGTGTTAGCGCTTATCAAGATTAATTCACCGTAAAAAGTAAAGTGAACCCTAACCTTCCATAGTTTTATCAGCTGACATTTTTTATAGATTTATTATTAGAAATTGCATTTTTAATATAATGTGTCCCAAGCTTTTTGGCAGTGACGTAGTAATTTTTGTTCTATTTCTATCTCTTGTCCACCGAGCGAGACGGAAATTTGATGTCTCACCAAATTGGTACAATTCGATTGGCTGATAATTCGACCACCATCGGATCTTTTATCACAATAATATCAGATTCGACAAAAATAATTCTCATTTACATCCATCACTTGAACTTTTGCTTGCAAGGTGTACATTATTGAATTGCAAAAATCTAAATTCTGAAAAACACGACTTGAATGTTCTTCAGTTAGGTACATCAGTTTGAACTGATTCACTAACACATAAATCCATAAATCTGCTTTGCTCAAATTTCTTCAATAAATTGTGAAACGCTATCAAATTCTTGTGCACCATGCAGAAACAACTTCAGCTCGGACCTAAAACCAGCAGCTTAAAAACTACGCCTTTTAATGTTATAACAACCAACCTCTGGCTTCATTCTAGCTCTTTTTAAAAACCTTTTAAGTATATATGTATATACAGGGTTGCTCATTAGTGCGTCAAAGTGCGATATCTCAGTAAATATGAAGTTTACAAGAAAATTCGTCCAACGAAAGTTTTTCACGTTTA